CTTTTAAAAAAATTCTAGACAATACAATCTCCTGACAAATTATTACTTAAAAGAGTATGTTTTGAGTCTTTTTGTTGTTGGCTATGGGGTTTGAATTCAGAGCATTGCACTTGCCACGCATGAGCTCTACCCCTGGAACCACATTCCCAAACCCTCTTTTTAAATCTTTTAAGCCATAAACTTTTGTTCCCTTAAAAGTCAGAAGTTCCCCCTCAGAAGAATTAGCCAATGGAAAGGATCCAGAAGGAAGTTCGGGAATCATGTTTATCACAATGTCTTGTTTGTTTGTTTTGGTGGGCCTTTTGTGCTTGCACAGCAGGTGCTCTACCACTTAAGCCGGGCCTCCAGTCCATTTTGCTCTGGCTATTTTGGAGATGGGGTCTTGTGAATTATTGGCCTGGCTGGCCTAGAACCTCAATCCTCCTGATCTCAGCCTCCCAAGTAGCTAGGATTACAGGTATAAGCCACCAGCACAGGGCTCACAATGTCTTTGACTCACCAACTAGTACCTGTAGATATGCAGCCAGCAACACAATGACTGAGGGTGGTAACAGGGTTATTTGCAGATCTCCAAGGAACACAAGATCAAGTTCATGATGCAGTGCTAGATGTTATTTAGAATGTCCACCTCAGTTAAAACTGTGCGTGCACACATATAATGGTCTTTAATCAGCTCCTCAACTCTTCCTTCTCCTCTCATGACTCTTCCAGCCTTTTATTTTCGCCACCATGTAAGAGCAATCAGAAGCGCTTCCCACATCCAAAGGTGCCCTGTCTGCTTTCATAGGGGTTCAGCCTGTACTACGTCCTCCTGCCAACTGCATGCAAACTGGCCTTGGGATGCACTTAACAAACACTCCCTGTCAATCTTTTTGGGCTCACCTCTTCCAGCCTCTCTCACACACAGTGCTGGTGGTCCCTCTGGCCATCCCTGCCTGTGATGCCCTCTCTCCTCCCTCTCTTCCTCCATCTCACCTCTTTGATGAAGCTGTGTGTGGGATGTCCCCAACTTGCACTCAACTCCCCCATCTCTGCCTACAGGCTAGGTGCCCCCTAGCCATCTCATGCCATTGAATTTGCACAGAGTCCTGTCACAATTGTGTGTCTCACTAACAATGCCCCTTTTTGGCAGTACTGGGGATTGAAATTAGGCCTCACACTTGCTAGGCAGGCACTCTACCACTAGAGCCACTCCGCCAGCCCTCAGCCCTGACATCCAGCCTTTGCTGACAGGGCCAGAGTCCCATGGTAACACAACCTAGACTCCTAAGTGAGGGTTCCGGGCCAGCAGAGGGGAAGTGACTTGTGGAAGGCGACATAGAATTCCTCCAGTCTCCCCACCCTCAAAAAAGTACCCTTTAGCCAATCCAGTTATGGACTTCTTTTTTCCCAGGCTGGCTTTGAACTGCAATCTTTCTGATCTCCACTTCCTGAGTAGTTGGGATTACAGGCATTGTAACATCATATCCAGCCCATTATACCCAGACTTTTTTTTTTTTTTTTGACAGTACTGGGGTTTGAACTCAGGGCTTCAAGCTTGTTCAACAGGCACTCTACCACTTGAGCAACTCTGCCAGCCCTTATCTTTGTTGGGTATTTTTGAGATAGTTTCGTGTTTTGTCTTGGCTGGCCTCAAACCAGGATCCTCCTGATCTCTGCTTTGGGAGGAGCTAGGATTACAGGCATGAGCCACCAGCACCCAGGCCCAGTTATGGACCTTTAAGCCACCAACCCACTGTGTCATTCTATCTGCCTAGTCTGTCCTCAACACCCTGTACTCACCTCTGGCAAACTCCTAGGCAAGGTTTGAACTAACTCAGACAGCCCCTGTAAGCTTTCCCTAACCCACTGGCTTGTTCTACTTTCCTTTTTTTTGTTGTTGTGGTACTACAGTTTGAACTCAGGGCCTATACCTTGAGTCACTCCACCAGGCTTTTTGTTGTAATGGGTTTTTTCAAGACAGGGTCTAGTGAAATATTTGCCTGTGCTGACTTCGAACCTCAATCCTCCTTACTCTACCTCCTGAGTAGCTGGGAATACAGGCGTGAGCCACCAGTGCCCAGCTTTGTTCTACTTTCTTGACCCAGGATTATTATTTATTTTTTTTGATCATACTGGGGTTTGAACTCAGGGCCTCACACTTCTAGATGGGTGTGCTGCCACTTGAGCCACTCTGCAAACCCTGTTTTGTGTTGGGTATTTTCAAGATAGGGCCTCTCCAAACTATTTACCCTGGCTGGCTTCAAACCAAGATCCTTCTGATCTCTGCCTCCTGAGTAGTTGGATTACAGGTGTAAGCCAGCGGGTCCTGCTTGACCCAGCATTATTTACACTGCGTCCAGACAGTACAAAGGTGTGGCTCTCCTGCCAGCTTCCAGAAGGACCCAAACACCCAGTCTAGGCCTGGCTCATACTAGGCAACAGATGATCGAATGGGCTGTGGGTTGCCCTTCCTCCTACTTGGCCAGGAAACCCCTGCCTTATCTTTTCTCATTCATGACCCTCTTATTTACTTCCTGGAGTCTGGGTCTGGTCCCTGGCAAGGGACTAAGTAAATCCTGTGTCCCTAGGAGTTCCCCTAAGACCAAAGACCAGTGACATCTTCCCTTAACCTGAAAGCTCCTGGGCACATGTGAAACAGTATGGAGCAGGTGGGAAGGGAGCCCAACCTGAATTTTGCTTCAAAATCCTATGCTGTGTAACCCCAATGTGGGGTATGGCCCACGTACCTACTGTGTGCACTCATCACATCCCCACCTCCCTGAAGGCAGGTGCTGTTTACTCTTATGGTGGAGAGGAGTGCTCAGAAACAGGAAGTCACTGCCCTCACCACAAAACCCAGGGTGGCCCGATGGGCCCCAGAAACCACAGGTGGGGGTGGCCCACACCTGCTGTGAGGGTGTGTGGAGAAATGCAAGGTCCTAGGGGAGACCACCAAGGTCAGGGCACACAAAGACCTAAGAACTAGGTGTTAGCATTTGGCCCACGTCACAGAGGAGGCTGAGGTGAAAGGTGATGCGACTCACCCAGTGTCACCCACCATCAAAAGGCAAAGCCCTGGGATAGCGTTCTGAAATTTGATTCATGAAATGCATATGCCTGCCTGATTATTGAGGCTGCTCAAGAATCAGAAGGGCAGATGTGCCCAAGGCAAGAGGAGAGACCACAGGGGTTCCAGGTCCCACAGATCCATCAGAAGGACTGAAACCCTGACCCTTCCACGTACCAAGTACTTGCTGCATTCGAGCTTCCTTCCTCCAGGCTTCTGCAGGTGGGAGGGGCTTGGGCAGCCTAAGACAGGAAGAGGAGGGTGTGGCCTTCATTTCCTGCCTGGCTGCCCAGCGCCATCAGGGTTCCCACCTACCCAAGAGCCTGCACAGCTGGCTGGCTATCTGCCTCCCTCCCATCACAAAGTACTCCATTCCTTTCTTCCATGTCCTCTCAAATCCTCCTCCAAACAGGAAGGGCAGTCACCTGCCCAAGACGGAGCCCGCAGGACACAAGCGATTGAGGTGCTACCTCGGGACACACAGCACAGTCTGGTAGAGCCAGGACTCAGACCTCCCAAGAAATCGAAGCGTATCAGACTGGAGCCCAAAGTCTCACACACCAGGGTTGGGATTGTTGGGCCCCTTCCCAGTCCTCTCTGCTCAGGGCAGGAATGAATACACCTTGAGTCCTAAACTTTGCCTCCCTTAAAAAGAACTCTGACTGGCGGCTGGGGGCGTGGCTCAAGTAGTTTCAAGCTTGCCTAGCAAGCTCAAGGCCCTGGGTTCAATCACACATACACACAGTGCAGATGGGCAAGGGGGCGGGGGTGCTGGGTGTTCCTAGAGATGTTCTGGTTCTTAGGCTTACAGTGCAGGACTCTGGGTCCTGCTTTAAGACCCTGAATAAATTATTTGCTCTCTACTTCAATCTCTCATCTGTAAAATGGGGGGCAGTGACAGTAACTGCTGACAGAGGACATCAAGCACCTAGGGTAGGCCCAGCACTGTTCATCTGTTGTAGGTTACCAAGCAGACAGAACTACACTAATAGTTAAATGCAGTCTGCACTGCCTCTGAGCTCTATGACCTTGAGGAAGTCCCTAACCTCTGAGGTTGTCTGTCCAGGTGTAAAACGGGGATAAAGGTGTGCCTTCATGAGGCAACAATGACTCTCACTGTATGAGCATCTCGGGAGGTACTTGGACGACTGTCTAGGTCTGTATCTGCATTTGGATGTGTGAGCTTTGTGTGTTATGGTGGGGGGATCCCCTTTCTGACTCGCCCGCACCCCGCAGCTCTCACCACTGGAGCCCTCAGGGTTTGCAAAGGAATCTGGAAACATTACACCACTGTCTTGAGATGAAAACTGCAGAAGTGCAGTGCCTGGCGGACCCGGAGAGATGGGTCCAGTCGAATCCCAAATTTTCCTACATCTAATTGTCCTCTCTCAACTCCTCCCTGGCCCTCGGCACTAACTAGACTCGAGCTTAGTGGCTCTTAGACAACGGAAATTTTGTGACTCTGGGCAAGACGAAAACCCCCTCCACCTGTCGGGGTACCGACATCCTGAATGCAGTAATAAAAACGGCGCTGGGGTGCAGTGCTATTTCCGGGATCCGCGGTCACTCCGGCTCCACAGTGACTGATACAGGGAAAGTCAGTAAAATGTCTAGGACTGACACAAGGAGAGACCACAGAGCCTCACAGCATCTGCAGCACCCGCAACCCAACGCTTGGGTCCAGTTGAAGTCAGAACTGACCGGGGCTGTGATCGAGCATGCGCGGGGCGCGGGGTTCATTGGGACTTGTAGTTCGCCGTGCATCCCGAGCCGGGACACTTGAACCTAGCGCAGGGGCCGAAAAGCGATCTTGGACCCGGACAATGATCTCGGGCCGCGCGGACGCTCAGGGACGCCTCTCTGGGAGCCCCTGCGCTACTCTGCCAGCCCGCGGCCGCCCCCAACCTCTTCGTCCTCGCTGGCCCCGTACTGGGTCGCGGCCGGGCGTTACCTGGGGCCGCGGCGGGGCTCCACCCACACCGTGCGGCGGCGCGTCGCTCCCGCAGTAACCCGGGACCCAGTCGGGATGCGGCCCGGAAGCCGCCGGCCGCGGCACCCCCCGTAGGTCCGCACAGTGGGATCGTCCACGGACCTCACTACCGGACGCGCGCGGGAGCCTCGAGCCCTTCTCTCCCTGTTACCGCGCGAATGGACCTGCCTGGACTGTACCATTCGGGCGGGAGCCTCGGGGTGGGGGGGAGGTCACGCCCACTCGGTGCCTGGCGGCAAAGGGCTTGCAGGGGCAAAGCGCCCTGGGCCTAGCATCTCAGCCACCACTTACTGCCTCCGTAACCTTGGATAAGAACTGACTCCCGTTTCCTCGTCTGTGAAATAGGGAAAATAATACGACTCCGTGGCCGTTCAAAGAATCTTCGCTTCCTGGAGCGTTTGTGCCCCTCCCCCAGCCTGGGCACAGGGAGGAGGTCGGGGGTAGACATACAAAAAGCAGGTTTGGCAGGTATTGGCTCCCTCTGTGGGTCATTCTCTGGGCCTCAGATTTCTCGTCTGCGAAATGGGAGCGAGGATACCTTCTTCAGGAGGAAGTGGGGAGACTCCAATGACAAGGCGAGGCGACTGGCGGAGATACTGTGAGGGATTGCTCCCCTCTTCCCATACCCCCCGTTTGCCCATCGCTAGAGCCATCCTGGACCTGAGCACGGCGGATACCAGCCCAGCCCAGGCCAGGTTTCCCAGTCCAAGGAGCGCACGCCAGTGAGGACTACAACTCCCAGCGTGCCGCGCGCCGCGGGGGTCCCTGAAGACCACGCCTCACGGGGCGCCCTGATCCCAACCCTGGGCAGGTCTCCACGCCGCACTGGTCTCCCCTGCGGAGGGTTGCTTGGACGGTGGTTCTGTTCCCTCATGGCCAACTTTGTTTTTAAAGTTTCATTTGTTGGCTTCCTGGAATGTTTGTCCTGGAAGGGATCTCAGGGTCTGGGGCGGGGTGGGGAGCTGGCCCTAGGGTGGGGGTCTGTGCCCGGGCTGGTCCTCCGATTGTATAACAGCAGTGAAGGGACTTTGTGCTTTGCAAAGTGTAGCTCGAGGGATGACTGGGAAGTGGAGAAGGATTGAGCGCGCTCACACCAGGGAGACCCTCCTCAGCCCAGGCAAAACGCTAGGGTGGGGTTAGAGGGTGTCTCCGTGTGGCAGATGAAATGGCTACTGGGGAGAAAGTATCTCAACTAGTCGGGCAAGCTGGCACTGAATTTCAACTTGATCAATTTCTGAGCACACGGAGGGTGGGCATAATAGAGACAGGCAATGAGCAGTTTTTCTGTTTTTTGTTTGTTTAACAAAGTACCCATTAGTACCCAAAGTACCCAAAGACTGTGCTATGAAGGAACCCTGATGTATTTATTACCTCATATGCACATCACACTATTACTGTATGCTAAGTGCTTTTATGCATTACAGGATTAATCCTTATAACAAACCTACGAGTTGGATTCTGCTCTTATGCCCATTTTGCAGACGAGAACATTGAGGCTCAGGGAAATGAATTACCTTGCCCAAGGCTCCCAGCTCCTTGTAGGGAGGGCATTAGGACCCTGGTTATCCTGGACTCTTAACTCCACTGTTTCCTGAACCTCATTGTTTCCTGAAACTGACCTTGAATCTGGCCTGGAGTCATCAGAAACTAAAGTCCAGTGAGCTTCCCAGGTTGCCTTGTGGCAGTTGTGCAGGTGCCCCTCAAGGTGGGCAGGGCACCATCAGGCCACATCTGGCTCTTCCAGATGCTGTCCAAAGGTCTGGGAAAGGCCCTAGCACTCCTGGCAGCAAGAGCACCTGACTCAGAGCCAGAGGCCCTGGCTAAGAGAAGGAGGGAGGGCAAGGGATCAGGTGGTGGTTTTCCCTGTCCAGCTGGGCAGAGCCCAGGTTGACTCACTTGGTCTGAGGCAGAGCTGGAGCCTGGAAATTTAGATGATGAAGTTGCCTGCCTCCTACCAGCAACCATTCCATTCCTACCGGCTTTCTTCAGGGAGGACTCTGGCGGCTGGGGCAGGAAAGACAGCGTGAGCATGGTTGCACAGATACATGTTACTCTGCCTGTTTCACCTCCTACTGACAATCTGGCCTTGGGACTGTGTATTCTCATCTGTAATAGAGAAGTCATCCCTGGAGTTGTTGGGAGAATTAAAGAGATAAAATTTATAATAGTAACACAACAGCCAACAGCACACACAACAAAACTAATATTTCTTGAGACCTTAGCTCTGTGTGGGCACAGAGCTCAGGACTTCATTTCATCCTCACGCCACCTTTTGAGGCAGAAAACTGAGGCTCATAGAGATTATGTAACTTGTCCTGTCAAAATTGAACCCAGCAGTCTGACCCAAGTCTGACTGTCACTGTCACATCACCAGCTGTCCAACCTTCTATGGTATCTCCTTGTAGATACTCAGAGGAGATACAGCTGGGTGCCGGTGGCTCACGCCTATAATCCTAACTGAGTAGCTCACTGAATGACTCAGTACCTCCAAAAAAAACCAAAAGGAGATGCTACCTGGGAGACTGAGATCAGGAGAATTTCAGATGGAGGTCAGCCTGGGCAAAAAATTCACCAGACCTCATCTCAACCAATAAAAAGCTGGGCGTGGTAGCTTGCGACTGTCATCCCAGTACATGGGAAGCATAAATAAGACGATCAGCTGGGCATAAACGTGAGACCTTATGTCAAAAATAAAAAAGGAGCCAGGTGCTGGTGGCTCACACCTGTAGTCCTTGCTACTCAGGAGGCAGAGATTGGGGGATCGTGGTTCAAAGACAGCCCAGGCAAATAGTTCATGAGACTCTATCTTGAAAAATCCTTAGCAAAAAAAGGGCTGCTGGAGTGACTCAAGGCGTAGGCCCTGAGTTCAAAATCCAGTACTGCAAAAAATTAAAATAAAAAAGGACTAGGGGCGTGGCTCAAGCGGTAGAGTGCCTGCCTAGTGAGCATGAGGCCCTCATTTCAACCCCCCAGTATCACCAAAAAAAGAAGAAAGAGGAAATGCCTCTTGGGTATCAAAACTTGGAAATGTATCCTAGCCAGAGCATGGCTACGTATGTGTTTTTACATGGATGGACGCTGACTTCGTAGATCCCATTTTCTTTCTTTTTTTTTTTTTGGTACTGGGGCTTGCACTCAGGGCCTACACCTTGAGCCACTCCGCCAGCCCTATTTTTGTGATGGGTTTTTTCGAGATAGGGTCTTGCACCTATTTGCCCAGGCTGGCTTCAAACTTCAACCTTCCTGATCTCTGCCTCCTGAGTAGCTGGGTTTGCCAGCGTGAGCCACCGGCGTGGTGCTGTAAATCCCATTTTCTCTTGCCTTACCTACCGACAAGCTCAGAACCTGACACGTGGCTCACATCTTTTACTCAAAACTTCAAGACTCTGTTTAAAGCTAGATTCCTCTTGTTTTTTTCTCACCCAGATTTCCTCACCATTTAATAAAGCTTTTTGTAGCATTTATGTCTTGATGATCTGTTTTAAATTTGGAGGGTTGAGGAGCAAACTGTCTTGTTAAATGCCTGCTATGGTGACTACCTGACAAATAGCCACCAAGTGTGAGTCCTCTGTCCTGAAGGGATGGGCCACCCAGTAGAGAGAAGACAGAGGTGTGAGCCTTAGGAAATTACAGATTCAGTGAAGGGGAGCCCAGGTGACTGGAGGTAGTGGGGGGTCCATGCTGCACACCAAGCCCCATGCCACGAGTGGGGTCTCAGTTACCTGATTTTATCCCATGAAGTAGCCAGGAAGAGCTCCTGAGTTACAGGTGGGAGGTCTGATATGTGCAGGGTGGAGCAGGGACTCCCAGAGGCCTACCAATTAGGGGACCTTAATTCTGTGCCCCTTCTTCTGCATCTGGGTGGGGTGTTGAAGGGTCAGAGAACTTCCTGTTGAGAGGAGACTGTAGCCAGCGCAAAAAAACAACTTAAAGTCTTGGAAAAAAGGCAGTGTATTTATTCAGTAACTGAAGTGCTGGTGGCAGGCATGGCTCCATCCAGGAGCTCATACAAAGTCAAAAGGAATCCACGTTTCCATTTCTTATCTCTGTTTTACTCAGTCTCAGATTATTTCTTAGTACCCTTGTGGTAGTAGACAGCTGTTGGAAAACCCCAGAGTCACTTTCTTACAGCTTAGACTTTTTTCTTTTTTGGTGCTGGGGTTTGAACTCAGGGCCTACACCTTGAGTCACTCCATCAGCCATTTTTTGTGATTTTTTTTTCCGAGATAGGGTCTTTGGAACTATTTGCCTGGGCTGGCTTCAAACCATGATCCTCCTGATCTCTGCCTCCTGAGTAGCTAGGATCACAGACATGAGCCATCGGCACCCACCTACACTTTTTTTTGAGACAAGTTCTCACTATGTAGCCCAGGCTGGTCTTGAACTCTGGATCCTCTTGCCTCTGTCTCCCCAGTTCTGGGATCTCACTGCCTCTGCCTCTCAGTGATTCTCATTGGCCCAGCTTTGTCACATAACCAAACCTGATCCAATCTTTGTGGTGAGGGAAGCTGAGATCTGACTGGCCAGGCCTCCACTATGTGCCCAGCATGGAGTGGGGACAGTGGTGTATGGAAATTCCCCAAAGGAAAACTAGGGTGTCATTAGCAGGGGAAGGAGCTGCTGTGGGTACCTGGACCATCAGTGCTTACTGCTGGGGACCAGGGAAGGCTTTCTGGGGGATGGGCGGGGAGACAGGGAAAGAAGTGTGGAGGAGGAGCCCCTACACCAGAGGAGCAGTGGGGAGGACACAGGAGAGTGAGGAAGGCAGGACAGGTACACCCCCCACCTTCCCTGTAGTGCAGAGCTCTTAGTCTCAGGTCAGGTGGGCTCCCACCTGTCTCAGGGGGACACAGGCATGGGCATTTCCCCTCTCTGAGCCTCAGGCGTCTCTGTACAATAAGCATGATGACAGTGGCCTCTGCCTTTCGGTGACATCAGACATCAGTGAGAACATGATGTAAAGCACACAGTAGGAACTCAATAAATGCTGATTCCTTCTCCTCTTGGAAGGCACAAGGACAGCCTTCATTTGGGACTTTCGTGGGTGGAGACTTGCAAATTCCCAGCATTTGAATCTTACCATCTCTTTGGAGGATTGGGGCTTTCTGAGTGCTGTCTCCCTCATCCACCTATGGCTCCTGGTCAGCCCAGAAGAGGGGTGCAGCGCCCCATCCCCGAGGATCAGACCGAGGCAGTGCTATTCAGAGAGGGGCAGTGACTTCTCCAGGCCACCCAGCCAAAAAGAGATAGGACCCAGGCAGGTCTGGTACAGGAGCCCCTTTTTTCCTATGTCAGAGAGGGGTCAGGGCCGGTAGTAGGGTGGGGAAGGGGGGTGGTGGTGGTGACTGGGATATGAGCCTGGATAAGACAGAATTGGGGACCTGGTCCCTGCTGGGAGGCCATAGGCATCAGGACAGTTAAAACCAGCACGGAGGCTGGTCGCTGGTGGCTCACGCCTGTAATCCTAGCTACTCAGGAGAGAGATCAGGAGGATTGTGGTTCAAAGCCAGCTGGGGCAAATAGTTTTGTGAGACCCTATCTCGAAAAACCCTTCACAAAAATAGGGCTGGTGGAGTGGCTCAAGGTGAAGGCCCTGAGTTCAAGTCCTATACTGCAAAAAAAAAACCACCATGGAGTCAATGAAG